CATAGGGGTAACAAACAGACTCAATACACAGGGGTAACAAACAGACTCAATACACAGGGGTAACAGACATACTCAATACACAGGGGTAACAGACATACTCAATACACAGGGGTAACAGACAGACTCAATACACAGGGGTAACAGACATACTCAATACACAGGGGTAACAGACAGACTCAATACACTACAGTAACAATTTACTCAATACAGAGGGGTAACAAACAGGATTCAATACACAGGGGGAACCAACAGACTCAATACACAAGTATAACAAACAGGATTCAATACACAGGGGAATCCAACAGACTCAATACACAGGTGTAACAAACAGACTCAGTCACAGGGGTAACCAACAGACTCAATACACAGGTGTAACAAACAGACTCAGTCACAGGGGTAACCAACAGTCAATACACAGGGGTAACATTAGACTCAATACGCAGTGGTAACAGACTCAACACACAGGGGTAACAAACAGACTTAATACATAGGGGTAACAAACAGACTCAGTCACAGGGGTAACAAACAGACTCAATACACAGGGGTAATAAACAGACTCAATACACAGGGGTGATAAACAGAATCAATACACAGGGGTAACAGATAAGATTTAATACACTACAGTAACAGAATTTACTCAATACAAAGGGGTAACAAACAGGATTCAATACACAGGGGTAACCAACAGACTCAATACACAGGAGTAACAAACAGACGCAATACACAGGTAAACAGACAGGATTCGATACACAGGTAAACAGACAGCATTCGATACACAGGTAAACAGACAGCATTCGATACACAGGTAAACAGACAGGATTCGATACACAGGTAAACAGACAGCATTCGATACACAGGTAAACAGACAGCATTCGATACACAGGTAAACAGACAGCATTCGATACACAGGTAAACAGACAGGATTCGATACACAGGTAAACAGACAGGATTCGATACACAGGTAAACAGACAGCATTCGATACACAGGTAAACAGACAGGATTCGATACACAGGTAAACAGACAGCATTCGATACACAGGTAAACAGACAGGATTCGATACACAGATAAACAGACAGGACTCGATACACAGGTAAACAGACAGCATTCGATACACAGGTAAACAGACAGGATTTTGATACACAGGTAAACAGACAGCATTCGATACACAGGTAAACAGACAGGATTTTGATACACAGGTAAACAGACAGGATTCAATACACAGGTAAACAGACAGGATTCGATACACAGGTAAACAGACAGGATTCAATACACTTGGGTAAAGACAGTCTAATACAACAGAAAATATTCAATAGACTCTGGAAACAGACAGAACTTAACACACTAAAGAAACAGACATGACTCCCTTTTATACAAATGTCCCTTTTATCCAAGAATAATTCAAACCAAACTTGTACAAAATCCTGACATTCCTCCAGCAGAAGAAGGATTTTAAAAGATCTGATAAATTTCCTCTATTGAGCCCCGCTTCTCAGACCAAATTGGAACAGAAATAGCAATAACAAACTATTATTGTCACTTGTCGGCCATTTTGTTTTCAGATAAGTCCCAAAATGAGACAATGCACAACCAGGCACAAAAGCGAAGCCTACATACAACATTTGAAAATGATCCATCAAGTATTTCTCGAGAAAAAATGATAAAAATAATATAAGGACAGACACACAGACGCCAAACCACAGACTAAAGGTGACAAAAAAGGAGGATATGACAGTATGAGACCAGACAGTTGGGGTAGTATTGCATTCTAATGAAGATGTGTACATGCAGAGACACAAGACAGACAAGTTGTATCCTGCTACAATGAGACAAACAGCAGCTCCCACAGCAACAATTGGGACCTCTGCCTCTTCTTATCTCTCTTCCCTAACCTTTCTGGTAGTGTCACCCTAGCTACACATAGTTAACCCGTTGTCAGAACATTACCAACATGGTGTCCTCAGCAGAACGTCTTTAGAACAAGCAAATTCAGAGAGATGGCACTTTAAACTAGCCCTGAGTGATTCTCTTATCTATGAAGAACACCTTCAAAGGACTTCAGTTTTTTTTTTGTGATAATATAAAACTCTTAAGCAAACAAATCCTGCTAAAATGTCTGTAAATTGGGGCATTAGGGGTGGGGTAAATTTAACACAAACAGATGCACTCAATCTGATTCATCCAAAAATTAAATATACATTACCCTTTCAAAACAAGCTTCCTGTGTCAAATCATTTGAGAAGGCATCAAAGCTTACCAACTATTGTCTTGCCTGTTTTGAACGGTTTTCAATACTTTTTTTTTTTTTCATTTCTATGTTTTTTCCCCTCTCAGATATCAAAATTTCAATAAATTTCCCAAGCTTACCAGCCGGAGATCGCCCTTAAGAATACAGGTTACTTTATGACATGTAAACTACGCTCTTACCAGTAATATACTATTCCGTAACAAGGTATTTTTCATTTGGTGATTTAACTGGAGATTAATTACCTGGATCCATGAACTCTAAACTTAATGACGGAGATGTGACAGCCAAGTCCTTGCCCTACATATGGTGGGGTACCCCCACTAACTTCTTAAGTGGATAAATCTGGACCAATTACTTCCCTTCAGACTTCTTCTTTTACAATAATAAGCTATCACTTATCACAATTATTGTTCAACATTGATGATCTCTGTGATAATTCACTACAAGTGTAATGATCTTTTCATTAATTTTTTAAAAAAGTTTTGATGTTGTTGTGACAATTTCTTTTCAAATCCAGACTGATTATCAATGATTTTCAATATTTTTCTATTATAACTTCAACAAAAGTTTTCTTTACGAACAAATCTGCTGAAATAGGAATCTTGACATTATCTGCAGAGTATTGAATTTATCCAAGGCATTAATAACTGCTGACAGGGTGATTTTAGGTTCAGGAGATAAATATAATGTATCAGAAAAACCAGTGGTTTTTTTTAGGAAGGTTAAACTGTTATCAGTTCATGCTTGAAAAACTGGTCAGTACTGCTTGTAATTTGTCTTAAGCTAAACCTCCACTGTTGATTCTTGATTGACAGGCAAGTTCTCTTGATCCTGTTTGATCAGTTCTTCTCTTGATTTTTACCCAACATTTGTGTGGTATCCTCGTCTTGTGTTCCTTCTCCTTATTTCTCTACCCCACCCCTGTGTAGCCCCTCAATCACATGTTTCCACTACTTATTTCTCTGCTCTACCCCTGTGTAGCATCTAAATCATGTCTCCTTCTTCCTCTACCCCACCTTGTGTAGCCCCTCAATCATGTGTCACTAGTGAAGCCCCTCAATCATGTGTTTTCACTCACTATTCATCTGCCCCATCTCTGAGTAGCCTCTTAATCATATTTCCTTATTCCTCTACTCCACCCCGTGTAGTCCCTCAATCATGTGTCTCCACTCCTAATTCCCCTACCCCACCCCGTGTAGTCCCTCAATCATGTGTCTCCACTCCTTATTCCCCTACCCCACCACGTGTAGTCCCTCAATCATGTGTCTCCACTCCTTATTCCCCTACCCCACCCCCGTGTAGTCCCTCAATCATGTGTCTCCACTCCTTATTCCCCTACCCCACCCCGTGTAGTCCCTCAATCATGTGTCTCCACTCCTTATTCCCCTACCCCACCCCGTGTAGTCCCTCAATCATGTGTCTCCACTCCTTATCATGTCCCCTACCCCACCCCCGTGTAGTCCCTCAATCATGTGTCTCCACTCCTTATTCCCCTACCCCACCCCCTGTAGTCCCTCAATCATGTGTCTCCACTCCTTATTCCCCTACCCCACCCCCGTGTAGCCCCTCAATCATGTGTCTCCACTCCTTATTCCTCTACCCCACCCCTGAATCATGTGTCTCCACTCCTTATTCCTCTACCCCACCCTCGTGTAGCCCCTCAATCATGTGTCTCCACTCCTTATTCCTACCCCACCACGTGTAGTCCCTCAATCATGTGTCTCCACTCCTTATTCCTCTACCCCACCCCTGTGTAGCCCCTCAATGTGTCTCCACTCCTTATTCCTCTACCCCACCCCCGTGTAGCCCCTCAATCATGTGTCTCCACTCCTTATTCCTCTACCCCAACCCTGTGTAGCCCCCTCCCCCTTCCTTATTCATCTCCCTCATGTCTGAATAGCCTCTCGATCATGTCTCCATTCCTTATTCCTCCACGTTACACCTGTGTATCCATCATTTACTACAGTCCTAGTATTCCACTATCATTCCCCTATACAGCCTCGTTCTGTCTCCCTACCTGCATAAAAACTGCAGAGCTCTGATATTTTCAATGAATGATTTGAAAAATGTAAATGATCCTCAATGTGTTATAGAATATAATTATTCTCATCAATTTACATTTAATAAAGAAAATTAGGAGGTTGGGGGGTTTTGGGGGCTGGAGACTAATCATCGGTAGTGTAGATCAAAGAGATCTGTTGACAGATGAGTTAGATAGACTATGACGACAAATCCTACTTAATGCATGTGTAAAGAATCTATAGAGAGTTCAATCAAACGGAAAACACAGCATAATATATCAGCCACTTAGAACATAAAGTGCCTTTTAAATTATACAACATTTCATAATTTGTTATTTGATATCATCAATGGTCATTAGCATTTAAAGATATACACTTGGGAACTCTCCTTGACATTAGGGTGTTTAGTGACAGTATTTCGCAATTATGTATTATCTCTAGAGGAGATAGCGTATACACACAGGTACCATAGCAGGCGTAGTCACCTGTAAATACATTTGCTGTCTGTCGTAAAAAGGAACTGTTACGTAAACAGACCAAAAACATTGAATGTAAATATTTACAAAACGCATAACAACAGACTGTTTACAACCTCAACAAAAACATGATATGCACTAACCTGTCTAACAGAACTAATACATTAAAGATAAAAAAAAAAAAAAACCAAGCAAAACAAAATCACAAGATTTTCTGATTTTATTGAGATTTAAATCATCATCATTTTTATATACACTATATTTTTGACATCGTTTGATTACTCTGTATATGAAAATCTGCTTGAAAAGGCTATTTCTATGGCAAAATAAAACATTTGTTTTGAGTGAATTAAAATCCAAATATTGCAATGAAACACAATCTAATGAATTTAACTCCACACAAAAGCTGGACAATATCACTTCATCTTTAACAAAGTCTGGTGCCATTTGTAACAAATATGAGTAGATGGGATGCTTAAATGATTGACACACTAGTCTGCGTAACACAAAGTAAATTTCCTTTGAAAACATATACACAAATTCCCTTTTTTATAGAGCTCAAAATCAGTGCCTTAAATTTATTTTGTGTACAAATTAACCCCAAGGTTACAGGAGTTATGTCCCTTTTTTATAATTCTTCAACCTTTAAATGCAACATATCTTTTAATATCACCAGTATTAACAATATCAACAATCTGACCACCAGGGTCACACTCCTTAATTTATATAATTATCATGGTTTAACAATCATGGCACCAAGCAATTTTTTCACATAATTTTCACAAACAGTCAACAGGTATTATAACAAACAAAGTGATACATACATATGTATATATATACATATATAGGTATGTATTGGTGTCAATACAAACATTCATAGAAGTTTCATTTCTAATATTTGTACCATGTAGAATCATTAGTACATTATTGTATGTGTGTGTGTTCAGACTGAGTGAAATAAGATTGTGTCTTCATGTGAATTTCTTATTTACTTGATATAAAACATCTAGAATCCAGGCTGCATCTGTCCCTGTTTTCAATCCATTCCAAAAAATTTTCTCTATAGAATACATTTCAACATGCAATACTGTCTATCTCATATTAGTATTGAGATGATAAAAATATTCTGTTTATGGAGAGACAAATCTGTATATTTTTCCCTACCCCGGGTAAAGTTTATAGTGATAAACACTACACTTCAGAATTCTCACTAAACATCTCTCAAGTGACATTTATTATCATAAAATGTTGATAAATATTAAATATTCAGCTGGCTTGCACCTGATGTTGAAAACAATGCTTTAAAACCATTAATAAAAAAAATTGGCCTGTGTATCGCTGATGAATTGGTGGACGTTACTATACATTGTGTGTTATGTATCTGTAATCATACTCATCTTCGGAACCACAACACTAAATATGCCCAACCATGAGAAAGAACTGAAAAAAAAAACTTAAAAAAATAATCTTCCCTGACTACAACTTTACTTCAGATTTAAAATGAATGTATAAATACTGTTTAAAATAACAAGGAGATCATGATTGCTGTCTCAAAAACTGAAACTATGTAGTACTCTGTACAACAAGTTTGTGGTGATGTCTCACTGTTGTCTCAAAACTGAAAATGTTTATATCAGTTAGTTTCAATATATATTGTGATATTATTACAGCACTAATGGACAGCAGTCTAGTTTGCTCTTTTATATAATATCTATAAAAAGACAGGAAAGTCATAATATGTTAACATTTCTTTATGAATTCCATTTTTTGACACCTGAACTTCAAATATCTGTAGGTAGATTTAGGTGTGATCAGTACAAAAATACAACATCTGTGCATGAACTTTATCGCAACAATATGTTCCACTGATAAAGAACAAACATGCCTATATCTCCTTCTGAGAGACATAAACACCAATTCATATCCAAATACTTAGCTGAAATAGTGAAAGACTCTAATCGCACCAAACCTTAACCTGGAGGTTTTGGCATCGAAAACAAAGTTCAGGGAGAGTGATCATATGAACTTAACTATTCTTTCATTTAGGTGAGCTAAAAGGTTTTCCGTACCAAGTCTAATATATCGCTTTTGTAATTAATCTTTTCTTATTCAAAAAAGACTTTCGTAATTAATCTTTTCTTATTCAAAAAAGACTTTTCCAGGGTTCATGATTCCTTTTGGATCAAATGTTCTCTTAAGCTGTCTCATCACCTCCATGCCCGTTTCTCCGATCTCTTTCTGAAGAAGTCCACGTTTACCCATTCCGATACCATGTTCTCCTGTACAGGTTCCATCCAATTCCATAGCAATTCTGTAAACATAATAACATAACAGTAGACCCTTAGTCATTTCTGAGCTGATTATGAATTCAAACAAGAGGCTGAATGGGCCTGCTTTGCTAATCTGATATTCATTAATACTTTTCTCAAATACATTCCCATCTAACATTATCAACCTTCAAGGTGGGTTGAAATCAATTCAAATAAAAAAAAATTGACAGATTATAATCCTAAGGGCTGATAATTATCATTAAGATTCTACAACTAGTTGATTCAGATCTGGAAGAAAATTTGAACCCTGTGCCCTTGGATATGGATATTCTTAGGAATTACCAGCCAAATATAATGATTCTAGACCTTTTAGCTGATCTGAAGAATTGGTTTCATCTCTGTGACTTCAATCATACTTCACAGTAATTCTTTTCCATTTATGTTGCTATGGTATTTACTACTGTGCCCAACATAAACCCTCCATGCCACTTACACTGCTATGGTATTTACTACTTTGCCCAATATAAGCCCTCGATGCCACTTACGTTGCTATGGTACTTACTACTGTGCCCAATATAAGCCCTTGATGCCACTTATGTTGCTATGATACTAACTACTGTGCCCAATATAAGCCCTCGATGCCACTTACGTTGCTATGGTACTTACTACTGTGCCCAATATAAACCCTCGATGCCACTTACGTTGCTATGGTATTGATCACCATGTCCAATATAAAACCTTCCTTCCACTTACGTTGCTATGGTATCAGCTAGGCCTTGTACCAGTTCTACTTCCTTCTTATTTTCAGTGTCCAACAAAAATAAGGTATGAAAATTGCCATCACCAACATGGCCGACCATGGACGCATCTACAATATAAACATATACCTGCAACAATCACTTACTCGGCCATGTACACTGAAACATCGCTGATCTTCTTCACCTCCTCGGGATTTGAGCGATCGGTGGGAAAAAAGACGTGAAAATTTCCATCCCCAACATGACCAACAATGGGACCTGGCAATGAGAAAAAGCCCTACAGTGCCAAGTTGGTCAATCAGAGGTCAGTGAGATGCCAACAGAGGACAGTGAGATGCCAACATAGGATGTAACAAGGATGTAAACAAACTTGTTTGCAAGAGAGAGTGAAAGTACAAATATATAGTCAGTTTAGAGAAAGATGTCTTTCAAACTTTCACAATCTGGCTGTGACGTGAAAATTATCAGAGAAAGTGGTCGTGGAAAAGAGCTGTCGTAGTGTCTACATGTATGCATGCATTTTGTTTATATGATTTGAAACAGGATTCTAAGGAAAGAGCTAAATATTGTAAAAAAAAGTTTTATACAGATGTGCATATCTAATAATAGTGAAAGCAATCAATACTAACTATTTACACCGACAAATGTCACTTCAATGTAATGTATTATTCCTATTAGGGATGAGGCCACTTTTAGTATGTTCAAAAATCTTTGTCAGCACTATGCAGCTTCATTTCAAAAGGAATTTTGATAAAACTTTGCATTTGTATGAAAAAATATAATATCACAGACAAATTTGAGTTTCATTGTTATAGGGTCAAAATCAAGGTCAAGGTAACCATTCTTATTTTCAGAAAATATTTGACCTCTTGAGGGATTTCAAATTTCAAGTCTCCAAATTGTTGGGTTATGGTCAAGGTAACAGTTGGTATTTTCAGAAAATCCTTGTAAGCAATCTAGTGGCTTCATTCCACGAGGGATTTTGATTGAATAAGATGTCTTGTTTATGATGCAGTACTTACCAATGACCCCAGCCTTACGTATGGCCTCCTTCGACCTCACTACAACCTCTGGTAAGTTGGATATAGGAACACAAACATCTGTAGAGTAGGGCTGAAAAATAAAAAAAAAAGTACTAAAGATGATAAAACTAACCAACCAAAATAATAAAATCTGTTTATGATGGCAGGTAATCTACCAGAACAAGTCGAGGATGACCAAAAAATGATGCAATGTTTTACCTCGCATTTGATACCATCCTTAAGCCAGGACTGAGTCGCACATCACGGGCCAAACTGGCTTTCAGAGTCTCATGTCTAAACTTTAATATCTACCTCAAAGCCAGGACTGAGAGACACAAATATGGTCAAACAGGATTCCAGAATGTCATGTCTAACCACCCATATCTACATTACTGCCAGATCTGAGGGTCATACTTAAGACAATGTCTAACCTTCCTTATTTACCACTGCCAGGTCAGGGAGCAATACAGGATGTCATGTCTAGCCTTCTACACCAACCTTACTGCCAGGTCAGGGAGCAATACAGGATGTCATGTCTAGCCTTCTACACCAACCTTACTGCCAGGTCAGGGAGCAATACAGGATGTCATGTCTAACCTTCTACACCAACCTTACTGCCAGGTCAGGGAGCAATACAGGATGTCATGTCTAACCTTCCATACCAACCTTACTGCCAGGTCAGGGAACAAAACAGGATGAAAGCTCTTTTATCATGTCAAGCCCTCTATATTTATGTTACTGCTAGGTTTAAGGCTGCACATATCTAGCCTTCCATACTTACCTTAAAACAGGGTCTAAAGGCCACACAGATGGTCATGTCAAGTCTACCCTATTCTCCTTTTGCTAAGTTTGTGAGCCATACAACCACAGGATGTCATGTCTAACCTTCCATACCTACCTTACTGCCAGGTTTGAGGGCCATACAGGCATACAGGATGTCATGTCTAACCTTCCATACCTACCTTACTGCCAGCTTAAAGGGCCATACAGGCATACAGGATGTCATGTCTAACCTTCCATACCTACCTTACTGCCAGGTTTGAGGGCCATACAGGCATACAGGATGTCATGTCTAGCTTTCCAAAGGTGATTTCTCTCGTCAGGATCTGATGCCCACTTAAACTCAGAACCACCATTCATAGTTGTGATTTCCTCTGCAAGGAGGCAAATGAAAATTGTCAACATTTGTTTTAATCATTCATTTGACTCAATTCAATTTTCTTACATTCTTAAATCAAAATTGTATCTTAACTCTATGGAATTACTGAAATCATTTTTTAAAGTGACACAGGTTTTAAGGTAGCAAACTTTCATGTGTTCAAAATTTCAAGCATTTGGAAAATAAAGCTGTACAATATTTCTCTTGTAGAATAAGCCAAATAGGCCGATACATTACCTCTGACTCAAAAATGAGCTGTGGGTTTATCACAGGAAAGTGTTTGTTATTCTACAGAACAGTCATAGATATGGACGATTTCCTTACCAGAAATGACCATAACTGCTTGATAAATATGGTAAATGTCATACTTACTGACAACCTCAGCCTGTTTGTCCAGTGTATCAGGACTTCCTGTGAACTCAAAGAACAGAGATGGTGCCACCTTCATATCCAGCTTGCTGTATCTATTACATGCATCTACAGATACCTCATCCAGGAATTCTACAACAAAGGAAACAAAACTTTACATACATATCACTTTTCTCCCTTTTTCAATGTCTAACTAGTTTGTTAGCTGGTTATAACCTACCTATCTGGGCTACAGGAATCCCCATCTGTAGGTTGTTATGTGGATATAACTTACCTATCTGGGCTATAGAATTCCCTGTCTATAATTTGTTACGTGGATATAACTTACCTATCCGGGCTATAGGAATCCCTGTCTATAATTTGTTATGTGGATATAACTTACCTATCCTGGCTATAGGAACCCCCACCTGTAGGTTGTTATGAGGATATAACTTACCTATCCTGGCTATAGGAACCCCCACCTGTAGGTTGTGTGGATATAACTTACCTATCCTGGCTATAGGAACCCCCACCTGTAGGTTGTTATGAGGATATAACTTACCTATCCTGGCTATAGGAACCGCCACCTGTAGGTTGTTGTGTGGATATAACTTACCTATCCTGGCTATAGGAACCCCCACCTGTAGGTTGTTATGAGGATATAACTTACCTATCCTGGCTATAGGAACCGCCACCTGTAGGTTGTTGTGTGGATATAAGTTACCTATCCTGGCTATAGGAACTGCCATCTGTAGGTTGTTATGAGGATATAACTTACCTATCCTGGCAATAGGAACCCCCACCTGTAGGTTGTTGTGTGGATATAAGTTACCTATCCTGGCTATAGGAACCGCCACCTGTAGGTTGTTGTGTGGATATAACTTACCTATCCGGGCTATAGGAACCCCCACCTGTAGGTTGTTGTGTGGATATAAGTTACCTATCCAGACTATAGGAACCCCCACCTGTAGGTTGTTACGTGGATATAACTTACCTATCCGGGCTATAGGAACCCCCACCTGTAGGTTGTTGTGTGGATATAACTTATTGTCTTGGCTATAGGAATCCCATACCTGTAGGTTGTTGTGTGGATATAACTTACCTATCCTGGCTATAGGAACCCCCACCTGTAGGTTGTTGTGTGGATATAACTTACCTATCCGGGCTATAGGAACCCCCACCTGTAGGTTGTTGTGTGGATATAACTTACCTATCCGGGCTATAGGAACCCCCACCTGTAGGTTGTTGTGTGGATATAACTTACCAATCCTGTCTATAGGAACCCCCACCTGTAGGTTGTTGTGTGGATATAACTTACCTATCCTGGCTATAGGAACCCCCACCTGTAGGTTGTTGTGTGGATATAACTTACCTATCCTGGCTATAGGAACCCCCACCTGTAGGTTGTTGTGTGGATATAACTTACCTATCCGGGCTATAGGAACCCCCACCTGTAGGTTGTTGTGTGGTGTCTATGAACCCCCACCTGTAGGTTGTTGTGTGGATATAACTTACCTATCCTGGCTATAGGAACCCCCACCTGTAGGTTGTTGTGTGGATATAACTTACCTATCCTGGCTATAGGAACCCCCACCTGTAGGTTTTTGTGTGGATATAACTTACCTATCCTGGCAATAGGAACCCCCACCTGTAGGTTGTTGTGTGGATATAAGTTACCTATCCTGGCTATAGGAACTGCCATCTGTAGGTTGTTGTGTGGATATAACTTACCTATCCGGGCTATAGGAACCGCCACCTGTAGGTTGTTGTGTGGATATAACTTACCTATCCGGGCTATAGGAACCGCCACTTGTAGGTTGTTGTGTGGATATAACTTACCTATCCGGGCTATAGGAATCCCCATCTGTAGGATTTGAACCGTGGAGTCTACAGCCTCCTGGACATTGTTGAAGGAGCAAACAGCTGATATTGTCTGTATGGATGAAATAAGACATTAACAAACAATCTATGTGTACTTTTCACTATTTATGAAAAGGAACAAACAAAATCAGAAGTTCAGAACAATAGTTTCTGTCTAAATGTCTTATTCCAGGAAGATAAACAACCTAAGGAGACCGTTTAGAATCACAGAATGCAAATCATTGTCTTCATACTTTAAACTTATTACCATCAAATATGAACAAAATCAGATAAATTAAGTAAACAAGTAACAGGCACACATATCTCAGAATATATGAAGAAAAGAAAAAAATAGCAGCCATCTTGTACTTTTGTAATTCAAACAACATGATATCTCTGTTACAATTTTCATGAATTAACAATTATTAAGAAGTATTCAACATCAAAGTGAATCTGACCAGTCAGAGAAGGCTACATATTGTTGTTTTGACATTATTATCCTGCCAGTGGTCTAAAAGAGGTTTATGTCTAGTATCACTTACAGCCTCTGGTATACCGTGGAGACGAATGGTTGCCTGGGTGATGATACCAAGTGTGCCTTCAGATCCAACAAATAGATTTGTGAGATTATATCCTGCTGAAGTTTTTCTGTAGAAATGATAAAACATGACACATATTGTTTTCAATGTATTAGAGATCAACATAAGAAGTGTGTGGAAGTTCCAGAAAAGTCAGGTATATTTATTACAAGATATTACAGATATCTCAATTTCAACCAAAATAGGAAGCAGTATTGTTTAACCAACTCACTTCTATCTTTTATACATCCCATAATACAGTTCTAACATTTTACTTTACCCAAGAAGCATCACTTACTTTGTGCGCCTTCCTTTACCAGCAGTGTAGATGATACGACCATCAGGCAGAACTACTTCCATGTTAAGGACATTTTCCCTCATGGTTCCGTACCTCACAGCATTGGTACCTGAGGCACTGGTAGCACACATGCCACACAGGGAAGCATCTGCACCAGGGTCTACAAACACAACCAAATTAGACTCAAACATATGTGTCATGTGAGTCATCATTTTTTTGGACATTACAAAGATAATCAGGAGAGCATCCTTCTACTTAACCTCGTACAATGCCTGAAGAAGAATGAATGGATATAACTCATTGCTATAATTTCAAATGTGATTAGTCAGTAGTCACCATGGCAAGCATACATAAACGGGACAAATAGACACTGTCTAACCTTTAGAATAGATTTCAGATTTCACAAAGGACAAACAAGTGCATTTTACTTATTTAGATTTAGATACAGTTGAGCAAAACAATAAATTAAAATATGTCATACATTTGTTTCGTCCTTCTAGAACTCAACAGTGATGTTAAGGGCCTAAATTTTGAAGCCTTGGTGGTGACTATGGATAATCCACAGGAACAAAAGGGAAGTGAAAATCTAGACGGGGAGGTGCAGCAGCCCCATAATTAAATAAATTTTGTAATTTTTCGAATATCAGATAATTTTATAACAACGTCAAGTACATGTGTGTGTTCTGAACCGTGCCACTATTCTAATGAATAGAAACGTGGCATGCAGGTTACGGCAAATCTCAGGGACTGAAAGTCTACCAGCAGTGCCTACCACCCGCTATCTTAAACAAGCTTCAGTTCAAACCTTGGTTAAATTAATAATAACCTCTATGTCAGTAACAAATGTGGCATAATTATCAAATGTATCTACCCTCCAATTTATTTTCAAAGAAGTCTGGAGAATTTTGATTCATATGGTGTCATTTTATTTTTCACCATAGTGATCTTTTTACAGTTGTGTTATCATACAGTATCTAAGGTGTAGTACATGGCAGGACAGTCCAGTTACCGTAAATATTCGCTTATAGTGTGCACTCGCGTATAGTGCGCAGGTACTTTTTGGAGATCATGTTTAAAAAAAAAAAAATCTACAGAAAAATTAATTGACTGGTCACTGCGACGAAACATTTGATGTGGTCTGATCCATTGATAATTAGGAAACCACAATGAGCGTGACCCTAACACATGTAATTACCTTAAGTATGTCTTAACATGGCATCAGTTTCTGGTTTTCATGGAACATCAGCCACTGAATTGAAAACAAGACCTGGTTTGACAAACTACTGCACTCATCTTTCAACCAGCCCATGGGATAACATACAAATTTTCACTCCAAGTTGGATGTTAGACTTATTGCAAAGCACTGTTTTTGATTTAAATGGATATATGGATGGACTTATTACCAGGCAGGTCTTAGGAGCTTGTGTTGTCATATTGTTTCCTTTGTCAAAACTCCACTTGCTCTGGATAGCATGTGATGGACCTCTCACATCATGATCAGTGAAGTAACTACCACTTACTGCTGGGAGAATCCATCTCAAAATGACCCCTATTGTTCACAGGGTGATAAACCAAGAAAACAACAAACAAGCAAGTCTGGGACAAGTGGAATGAGTCATTACGTGAGATCGCTTGGATCAGCCTACACAAAGAAGGTGAAATCAGATGTTCCACAAATGAGGTAGAAATAGCTGTTCCACTTGGAATACACTGTTTTACAAGTTAGATGGAATGAGGTGTTCAATGAGATAGTTGGGAAACAACCTGTTCTATTAGACATGTGGAATTAGTCCAAAGCATTCTGATTTCATATCAACTTTTATATATAAGCTTCTGGTCAATGAACATCAGAACTCCGTCCCCATATAAATTGAGGGAAATAAGCAACTTTCGCATGGATTGGCATTCAAATGATAATTGTGGAAAGAAATGGTCATTTTCACATGCATATCTCACATGGATTGAAAGGTCTTTATCTACAAGTTGATACCAATGTCATGTTTCAAAGTTCAGTACATACATATATGTAAATACTTTTTCTGAAGAAACTCAGTCATGTGACTAAATCAGATCCTGCAATACCCAAGGTATTTCCATACATTATTACAAAAATAACCCAGACAAACGTTAACACAGGCTATCACCTTAATTTCTCCTATGAAAGCGAATTCTCTTAGGTAACATTTACACGCTTTTTAAATCTTAAATCAATTATTTCATAGTCATAATATTGATATATGGCTCCATTCTATGTACATAAGAAACAGAATTGAAGTGGAAGACGGACAGCAGAACTTTGTTGTTTTCATTATTGTCTGAACTTTTGCACAAACACGAAAAAGTGGCAAGACTATAGGTATGTGACTAGAAGAAGTGTGGCTAACACAAACAGAGTAAGGTGGGAGAAATGTATGTTTACTGAGTGTATTGGTATTAAAGAGACATGTCCTGTTTGAAAATTATGTAGATAAAGAACAGACCTTTCAACCCATATGTGATATGCATGTGAAAATGACAATTTCTTTTCACAATTATTGTTTGACTGCTTACCCATCCATGGGTCACTCATTTCCTTCATTTCTCATCAGAACAGAGTTTTGACGTTCATTGACGCAAAGCCAACATATAAAGGTTGATAAAACGTCAAAATAATTTGGACTTACCTGTATGTGGAATGAACTGTTATCTGACACAAGTAGAACAAGCTGTTCAATTAGAATGTTGTAACACAGGACATAAGAACAGTGTAGGTGTACCTATAGGAAATGTGAGTCCTGTGTCCCTTAGGTAGTTGTTTAGTGTTACTCTGGTCACCCCTGCCTCCACAGTACAGTCAAAATCCTCAGCGTTGACAGATACTATTTTCTTCATCTTAGACAGGTCAAGACACAGACCTCCCTGTAACAGAGGTCAAATCAAGGAGGTTACATGACTTTATTTAAGGTTAAATTATGGAGGTCATGTGACCTCAAACAATATCGATATATGGGTGTCATTTTATGTTGAACAAGGTATTATTTTCACATCATGAAATCAAATCACATGCAAAATAAAAACACTACACATAACATACTGTTCTGAGATGATGATAGATTATATGACCATAGCAACATTTTATGTCAAGCTTTCCATTTTCATCATTTTCACTCACCTTCAATGCATTTATGCCACCTTCCAGTCCAGTGCCACTACCAAAGGGGATGAGTGGCACCTCATTATCATTACACAGCTTGGCCACCCGACTCACATGTTCCGTATTCTCAGCAAAGGCCACAATGTCTGGTGGTGCGGTACTAAAAATACCACAAATAAGATGGAAGATTTTAGCAAGCAATATTGCAAATAAGTGAAGATTTTATCTCGATAATTATTTCTGATAATGTTCGTCTTTACACATCATACTAAAGTATACCACTATTGTTTAAAATGTCTATAAGTAACACAAAATGTACTTGTACTTGTGAATGACAAGATGCTTCACAGGACATTGCCCTCTGTCTACTTTCATTCTTTCCTGTACCCATTCTACTCACTATCCTGTTGTCAGTGTAACAACACCCAATGTATGATATGTTTTGTTAATACAAGTGTGAACTATGGTAAAGATATGAAGAGAAGATATTACCAATTTAGATTTTGTATAAAAAATGCTGTTTTCACAAATTTCCGTTTGAGTATCTATGTTCTGTGATAAAAAGCATCTTACATTTAATCATTTTGTACGAGATTTATGAATCTCGTCATGAATTTTTCAATTTAAAGTTCTCACTCATTTCATTAATCTCGCATGAATGGCAACTTATGCAAGGTCCTCCAACCTTTTCTTCTTCTTTTTAAATAAGATACATAACTAGATCAAACAATGAGAAATATAACTACATAAATATTCAGAAATAATTCTGGACACCAGGTCAGGCACAACGGATTCAACATAGACAATGTTATTATCAAAAACAAAGAAATCATTCTAGATCAAATCAATAAAAGAAATATCTACAGTTATTACAGTTATCACAGGGTCCTGATGAAGCCTCGAATAGAGGCGAAACTAGTAGACAATTAGTAAAAATTACCCACTAACTGGTGACACTTGTTCTTGTTGCGATTGATTCTCCTACGGTTTTATATCAGTTATTACAGTGATATAAGGATTTGATATGTACATCCAGTACTTACTCATGATAGGACTCATCATGGCCATGTTGTTCCCGTATGGCATCAGTTGTAGATACATTATCATTGCCAACTATATCAATGACAGCTTGGACAAAGCGATCTGGAATCTTGGCTTTTGTTACTGTCTGTTCAAAGAAAGATAAGGGATTCATGCATGAGAAAATGAAAACTTTGTTTCCCATTAAGATAAAATTCTATAACCCTAACACTGGAGACACCCTCTACCACCCATACATTCTATAACCCTAACACTGGAGACACCCTCTACCACCCATACATTCTATGACTCTTAACACTGGAGACACCCTCTACCACCCATACATTCTATAACCCTAACACTGGAGACACCCTCTACCACCCATACATTCTATAACCCTAACACTGGAGACACCCTCTACCACCCATACATTCTATAACCCTAACACTGGAGACACCCTCTACCACCCATACATTCTATAACCCTAACACTGGAGACACCCTCTACCACCCATACATTCTATGACTCTAAACCCTAACACTGGAGACACCCTCTACCACCCATACATTCTATAACCCTAACACTGGAGACACCCTCTACCACCCATACATTCTATAACCCTAACACTGGAGACACCCTCTACCACCCATACATTCTATGACTCTAACACTGGAGACACCCTCTACCACCCATACATTCTATGGAGACACCCTCTACCACCCATACCCTCTACCACCCATACATTCTATGACTCTAACACTGGAGACACCCTCTACCACCCATACATTCTATGACTCTAACACTGGAGACACCCTCTACCACCCATACATTCTATGACTCTAACACTGGAGACACCCTCTACCACCCATACATTCTATGACTCTAACACTTGAGACACATTTTTACCATTCAAGCTATTAATTAGTCACAAACATAGCTGTATATGAATAATGTAATAAGCTGAACAAGATGTGATTCCAAAGTTTGAAACTAATTGTGAAACCAACTTTGCGAATGGCTAACTCCAAAGGCAGCTATTGTTTTCTTGCATAGAATTATCAAGGTATTCTGCATGTCATTTAGAAATGGCACTTTACATTATATTAAAATGTCAGTGCCTTAGCCATTGACAGGTACTGGGCTGGACTCTGTTAATTAGAATTTTTCCACTTCTATTCACTTGTGTTTTTTCTGTCCAAATACTCAAATTTTGAACACAAACAATTTTCCATATGATTCTGTTAATGTGATTTGCAAAAAGTAAGTTATGAGTGGGGAATAATTACAAGCGTTCATTATTGAGATAACAAGTAACAATAGTGCATTTTATTTAACATTACCATCTACCATACTTCCATAATTTTAAACTTAAAGATTGTGGATGTAAGTATTTTTCAAAAAGACAAATATATATATATATTTATGCCACTTAACTATTTTGGAAGCACAACATTTCTTATGTTATATATCCAGACATTTCTAAAGATATAAAAACTTGTTCTCTATTTTATAAAACATTTTCCACATACAAATAGACTTTGAAATATGCCTAGGTTGGAAGACATTGTTGAAAGCAGATACATGTAAAAGCTGTTGGCCTAGAAAATTATCTATTTGAACCTGCATGGCGCAATTTGAGAAAAAAAATAGTCTTTCCACTGACCTCGATATACGAACAGAAAAAAACTTTTTTTTTTTTTTTTTACTTATTTGGGGATGCTACCAAATCTAGTTAAACATATCCAGTACTTTTTGTATGATGTTTAAAGACAATCTACCAAAATCGAAATGCGTAAGGGCTATCCATTTGATTTCAAGTTTTTAGGCATCACGTTACATCCCTATAGGTCAGCAAGCGGTCAGTACTGATGTACTACTATGCTATCTTGCCATTCTTACTGAGTAACGCTTGCAAAATAAAAGTTAACATATATATTTGATTGATGTCATCCTTATTATACCTGTGTGTTAGCATTATGAACAACAGATCTATGGTATAATCGACGAGTTTGTCGGCAAACAGTCTGCAAAAGTGTTTTACAATACATTGTGTCTTCTAATTCAGCTTAACTCCCGTTATCAGCTGAGGGGTCTGTCAAGGATTCCTTCGGAACACCTCTAGAATTTGCCAATAATTTTTTTTTTATCTTTTATGATATAATTTCTCGCGTGAAAATAACAAACGATGGAGTATTCAGAAAAAGAAATTTGTTATATTGATTGAACATTTGTTTATTCGACGTATTCTTTGGGAAGACACAAACTAAATCTGAAACTTGGTCGAGATCATTTACCCACAAACCATTGCATACTTTACAAAATTCCGCTTCCGCTACAGCCTCTTTCTCGCAAGTCCAACCATGGTCCTTAGTGAGGTATTTTATCCCATGCTGTAAATGCCATATATTTGGTATCAGAAACGCTAAATAAACAATTAATGTTGTAACTTTTAAAAACTGATATGAAATGATCCAGTTTTTAATTCGCTTACAACTTGAATTATGTCTAAAACACTTTTATTTTATCAATATTGTTGTGACTGGTGTACCGCGTGGAAATAAAAATGGCAGCCCCCATAGTCAAAACGTGAACTTTATTTTCATGAGTGATAAGATCTTTCAAGTGTGATTTATTTGGCCCTTGTGATATCACGGTTTCTTTTTGAAAAGAAAATGAAATAATTCAATTGTATTAGATGTTTTGATTATATATTCAAATCTGACTTTACTTATGCAGGGCAAATGTATACAACCGAATCATACCAGGTCGCGATCATAATGTGCCCATGGTCGTTTAAACTGCTTATATGTATACAAGGTAGTTGTGTATAACTGAAGGGGCACTGAATGAGGAAGATGATATCTCAATGTATATTTCTTTTTACTCGGCCACAAAAAAGTACTCTTTGCTTCATTGAAATACACATTTGACTGGTTAGATTGCAGTTGCACATACGTAACTTGATCTGCTCTTGCAAGCATTTCTCATGCTTTGACAAGCACAAAAATGTTAAATGAGGTTGCAGTTTCAGCAGTAAATTGAAAAAATGACTTTTAATTCATTATAAAGTTATTTTATATGATTGTGTTTCATTTTTTTTCCAGTTCTGCTTCGTAGAAATCGGGCGGGTGGCCCTTTTTGCCTTTGGCCCTGATAAGGGAAAACTCTGTGTCATCGTAGATGTTATTGACCAGAATAGGGTAAGTTCATTTAAATAGCACTAGAACAGACTATTATGTGAAGTTAGATATTGAAATCCAATTGATGAAAATATTAAGAGAAGTCTGAATGTGTTTACCCTCATTGACCATTTAACAATATTTTCAATTTCCAAAGTGGTTTAGTTTATTTCTTGAACAACTGAAGTCAGTGATGATTTTATGTGTTGGTTTTGTTTGGTCCTTGAAAGATATTGACACATAGGCCCAAAAGCAATAGTGAATATAGTAGGTTTTATTTCAATTCAATGCTACTATTTTGATATACAAATTGTCGTAGTGAAAATTTTGTACAAACAGTTTTTTATTCACAACAACATATTTATAATAATAATTAAATCTATATGTCAACTTAAGTAGAACAAATTGGTAAAATTTTGGCCTATGACCAATACAATGATAGCAGTAAGTATATTTACAGAAAATAGACAACTCATTTAGCCATATCTAAAGTTCCTTTTCGGGATCAGTTTCTGTCTCAAATAATCTGTTAAAATTTTCAATTGTGGGAAACTTTTTAAGCACAAAATTTAAAAAGATTCATGCCATATTTCTAAAGGATAGAGGGTGTTCAAATTCAGTAGCTGCTTGCTCTTGTTCAAAATCATATTGAAAACAAGCTTTGTTGAGAACAGGACATCTTTATTTTCTTTGACAGGCACTAGTTGATGGACCAGCTACAGGTGTTAGAAGAAAGCAAGTGAACTTCAAGTCTCTTCACCTCACTCAATTCAAATTAGATATTGGCAGATCCTTGCGCACAGGAAACCTCCTGAAGGTCTGGAATAAAGAAAATATGCAGGCAAAATGGGATGAGACAACCTGGGCCAAGAAGATTGCCAACAAGGCTTTAGTGAGATTAATTTTATTAACTATACTCTTGTCACTGTTTGTATTTTGTACCCTTTGCCTTTGTGTTGTCAGTGGTTGCAATATTTGTACAGCATTACATAGTAATATCAACGATTTACACTTGTCACAGCATGAAGGATGAACCTGAGTTCTTGATAGGAATTGCCGTCTGAATTTATTGGATGACAATCTCCAGTTCTGACATGCTGTGCATTTCAAAAATGATAAATTGGTGTTGTGTGTTTCTAACAAGGTTGTAAATGTATATAAGAAATTGTCTCCAGTTGAAATTTGTGCCTTTATCCGGACAACATATTCTGCTCCAGCATGTAATATTTTATACTGTATAAAACCCCTGTATCTAAGTATGCAAGATTAATTTTTTTTTTTCTGCCACAAAAATTTTGTTCTTTATTGATAAATATCGTAATTGAAATTGTTGGACATAAAATACCCAGTGCACCTAACACACACACACCCTTTTTTCACAGCCAACAAAAGGTTATTTCCTGAAGTTAAGTTACTTTCATAAGATGAAAAAAAAACCATGTATATTTTCTCAATTTAGAATTTATCATGATCTCTGACTCCGTGATTTTTTGTTTTTAAATTTATGTGTACCATATTCTCTTGTCAAGTAATGATATTTGCAGTATTCTAAACATTGGATCTACAGATAAATTAGAAATTGTAATTTTCCTTTTTAATGGATGTATTTGACAGAGAATTTCAATTTCAAAGCATGAAGGATGAACCCGAGTTCTTGATAGGAATTGCCGTCTGAATTTATTGGATGACAACCTCCAGTTCTGACATGCTGTAATGTTTTCTAAATATGTCCAATCACTGGCCATCACGCAAAAAATTTTCAACTGTGGAGAAATAGTTACACCTTACATGATACAAAGATATGACAGAACAATTACGTGTAGTTTCAAATTTTTTGTTTTGGTAATAATTACACTTAGTGTAACATTCATTCCCAAATATGTACAAAAAGGAGGGTGGGGGGAGGCAGCTTTTAAGATGAAATTTTTCATAAAAATTCTGAGTTTTCCAAAATATAGAGGTGATGTTGGCTTTATATAATTATCAGGATACAAATAATTTAGTACTTTACACCTCATATATATATAGCATGAAGGATGAACCCGAGTTCTTGATAGGAATTGCCGTCTGAATTTATTGGATGACAACCTCCAGTTCTGACATGCTGTAGATAGATAAAAATCTTTTCAGCTGATTCCAGCCTTTTTAAAAAGTAGATAATTCCATATATAATTTCCACTGAAATAAGAAAATTCAACTGTTAAGACTTTCCACTTTTATCACTGAGTAGGCAACTTGGGGGGAAAATTAAAGAATTAACATCTTTTCAGTGAAGCTGGACATTTTACAATTACTTGAGATAAAAGAATTGAATTGAGATATGTAGGCCGATTCCTCACCTTAAGGAGCTGGAAGCATACATGATGAACCTGCGTTCTTGATAGGAATTGCCGTCTGATTGATTTGGATGACAAAACACTACTTCTGATATGCTTTCTTGGTTTTGTCTTTCCACTTTCTGAAAATTTCTAAAGTGAAATTAACTTGACATGTTCTTGTTACAGAGGAAATCATTGACAGACTTTGACAGATTCAAGTTGATGAAAGCCAAGCAGGCAGTAAGTAGCCTAACAATACTTTCCTCAGTTCTTGAATTTATAAATAAAAATGACTAAATATAGAACTGTTTCAGACATATATATTTGTCAGTTTCTGGAGCATAACAGGAACAATAAATCAGACAATTTCAGCATATTAAGATGTTTGATGCTTCATTATTGAGCTTTGTTCTGATTGACAATAGTAGATTAATCTGAATGAGTTACTTTAAACATTATACTGTATTTGAACGGATGTTCTGCACAAGTATTTCATTGTATGCTTTTTAAGGAAACTACAAAATTATCTACTTGGGTTCTGAAAGAAATTGTACATCTCAAATTTACCATTTAAACAAGCATAATATTTATTTGCTGAAATTCTTTATAGATCTACAGGTAGCAGAAGATAAGCCTAACGACATGTAATCCCAGCAGAAATTTTAAATAACAGCATACACACTTGTGCAGTTATCCAATACTCTGCATAAAATCTATGGTCTAGTGACCTTTCAGTGCCAGATTTCCCAACGCACTGTATTTGGACAGTTTTGCTTGGAGTATTCTCACCTATTTCGCCTGTCCAATCTGACCACAGTAGAGATATTTTGATTTTAAGAGTTTTAAAAGTCATAAGAATGAGTTCTTCAATAGTAGAGAACAGCCAGAAATTTTGCAACTTGGGCAGAAAATCCCTTTAATGGTACATTAAGAAAGTCCAATATAATGAGTTGAACTTAAAAAACTATTTTTTTATTTTAACAGAGGAACCGTTTGATTGCCATCGAATGTGGAAAACTGAAGAAGCAGGCGAAGAAAGCACCAGCAAAACCCTTGAGGGTTAGGAAGCGCAAGAGTTAAACTTGTGTTGTACTGAGGACTTGTTAATTAAAGATGCTGGTGTAACATCTGCATTGTCTTGTCTTAAATTGTGAGGGAATCTTAACATTTTCATCTCTTATGGGTTTTGATGCCCTTGCCATTTTATTTCTTAAAGCCAGTAATGCATGTACCAAAATTCTGCTTGGTTGCCATCAAGGGCATGGTGTCAATCAGACACAACCAGTTCCCAAAGATGTTATATTTTCACAAATACGATTTGATCAACTTTATAAAGGGAGGTTACCCATTTATACTTAATTTTAAATTTGAAAGAAGAAATTTCATTGATATCGATGTTCAGATCAGATGTCCGACACCTGACATCTGTATTTGAAGGATTCTTGTTATGGTATGGTGGTGAAGTATTTGATGGATTGTTCTGAAAATTCATCGGTAGATTCACCTTGTTTGTATCCATCTTTTCAAAATTTTTCCAATAACATCTTGTTACAGCTCCCTCTTACATTAAATCAAATTTCTTGAAACTTCATTTTAACATAAATTTTCAAAATGACCACCAGCAACCATTAGTTTAGAAGTTATATTGGATATAAAGATAGCTGCCAATGCCCATCTTGAATTTTGACATCTGTTTTACAAAACATATTTTGATCCTAATCAGATGAAGTAAGCCACTTCAAACTGTACTGTCACAATTCTGCATTAACTATAAAAGTTTGTACAGTGAAGGGTTTAACTCGTACTTTGAGCTTGATCCAACATTTGAAATTTGTAAACAGTTTTTAGTCCATGATCTATCTATCCATAAACAATTATTGTTTTCGCTCTTTTTTTTGTTTTACATTGGAAGTACTGGATGGATAAAATTTTATATGAGGTTCCTCTTTGTCTCGACACCAATACTTCATTACAGATTAATATTCAAGACAAAAACATTATTCTTGGGACTTCCTCATGTTTATTGACAATTAAAACAATGATATACATTGTATAGAAGACATCATTCTGTATATACATATAAAGAAAAACATATATAACACTTTGACATAAATGCAACTCCCACCACAAATATAAAAACAGTAAATATGTATATATATAGTGTCAATAGTAAAATTATAAGATATCAATTTGACCAGAAAATGCAGTACCCTACAGTGTTCAGGCTATGAGTGTGGAATTAATGACTTGTATTCTGCCAGTTTTGCCATCAACATAAATATAATTTTTGTGTAAAAATTTAAGTACAAGAGTAATGCTCCTTCATACATTTACTGCAAAACACGTAGCTGCTATGACATAGAAAAATTCTTCAACCATTCAGTACAACATTTTCTTTGATGTCAATTATACTGAAAAAAGAAATTATCAGGCCAACATGGTCATTTCCTAATCTTAAATAGCAGTTATGACTAAACAACCATGGCTACAAATAATTTTTCTCGGAATTATCACAAATGAGGTAGAAGAACGAAAAAAACTTGTACATATGTAACTATACAAACATTTATAAATGTTTGTTCAGATTCAGTGAAACCTGAGAGATTAAGAGGTAAATATTGATACAAAACTTCTTGAAACCAGGATACCCTTTCAAACATTTTAGTCCACAGTAGTATCGAGAAACTGAATAGAAGAGCAAAGAGAACATGAGTACTGCAAAGCGGAACAACAGAAGCCTGTCCCATACCAAAAGTACAATTTATCCTATAAAAAAGAAGAAAAATACGGTAATGATGAGTCAAATTGTCAAGAAGGAAAACAAATTTTGAAAAAAATTATTTAAAACTGAAAGGAGATTATGTGGAAAAGATGAAAAAAAAGTGTTATAACTCTTGTAACATTGGGGAAAATACAATTTTATGTTGTGGTTATCAGGGCTACCATGTTTCTGAGATAATGGTGAAAAAATTGTAAGATATTAAAATGCAAGAAAATCAAAGCGCGATAACGCCTTCAAAAACTGAGATGTAATGGCTGTGGAGGAAAACAATTACATGACATAGTTAAAAAAAGCCTGCCAATTCTGTAAGACACCTTGAAAACAGACAGGAATAACAATGGAAAACAACAAGGGGCAGTTGTACTCTTTAAGGACAGTTAAATCGAATTGCTACTCAAGAAAATAATTTCATGTCGTGGTTTGAAAGAAATGGATAGAAAACTGAAATATCTGATAATATGGAAAACAACAACGGGCAATAATTCATCCAAATGCAGTCATATCTAACTGCCCTTCAGTAAAATACAGTTTCAAGTTATGGTGTTTGAAACTGGCTGGAAAATTGAAGTAGATTTCAATACAAATAAATGTTTACATTAGATGGATAAAAGATAAAATGGTATGATATGGAAAATTAAAACGGATGCCAAACAATTAGCAATTGTGTATAAAAACTTCAGACTGTAAATAAAGTGATTTCTTTACTTTGCTGAAAAGGATACCAAATAATTATAAGCATCTGTTTATAAAAATTGGAGATAATACAAAATGATTACTATGTCAAAAATTTCCCGTGAGCGAGAACAATTAAATGATCTTTCCAATTTCATTCAGGCGAGAAAATAGGTTTTCTGTACCAACTCGTATTTTTTCACTGTTATTATCTATCTTTTCTCACTCAAAAATGACTTTTCCAGGGTTCATGATTCCTTTTGGATCAAATGTTCTCTTAAGCTGCCTCATCACCTCCATGCCCGTTTCTCCAATCTCTTGCTGAAGAAGTCCACGTTTACCCATTCCGATACCATGTTCTCCTGTACAGGTTCCATCCAGTTCCATGGCAATTCTGTAAACATAATCACACAGAAATAGAATCCATAGCCATAACTAATCAGGAGCGAGTGCGAGTTCGAACAAGAGGTCCAATTGGTCTGCATAATCTAGTATTCAAATAATGGTTTCCTTGCATGAATTTACATATCGTATTAGTGACCTTCAAATATTGGCACTATCCAATTATTTTAAGATAAAATCTAGAAAGCTTATATTATTCAAGCTACACAATATTAACCCACAACTGCTGAATTCTGTTTTGGAAGGTAGATTTGACCCCTGTGACCTTGAATATGTATCCAGGCCTTTTCTTCATTTTTTGCAAACTTGTCAGTTTCTCATTACAGGTCTTTTAGTTAATAAAAAGAAGTTGTTGAGTGTTTTAAATTTGACTTGACTACTAAGTAATCTGTAATTGAGTCTAGGTCCATTTCTTAAGACAGCCTGTTTTAGGCTTCATCCAAGCATTATTATGATTCTAGACCCTTTGGTTTTTCAGAAGAAGTTGTTTGCGTGTTTCAGCAAATTTGACCCCTATGACATTTAATGGGGTCAATGTTATTTCTTTTCATAAGTGCTCTCAGCCTGCATACCAGGAACCTACCAGTAAAATATGATTTTAAGTCTTTTGGATAAAGTAATTTATGAGTTTTAACCCCATTACTTTGGTCAGGGTTATTTCTTTTCACAAGAAAGTTGTTTAAAGGCAAGGTGGTGCTGGACAGGCGCAGATGATGACAGACGGAAGCCTCACCTTGGCATAAGCTCAATTGACAAGGTCAGGTGAACTAAAACTTTTCTAAACAAAACCAAAACTGCATAACACATATGTATGATAATTTTATTACTGAACAAATGATGGTATTTCTTGCTCTGGCCAAGAGAAACCTTCTATTTCAATTTGTTGCTATGGTATTTATTACTCTGTCCAATAGAAACCCTCCATTTCATTTGTTGCCATGGTATGTATTACACTGTCCAATATAAAACCTTCATTCCACTTACGTTGCTATGGTTTCGGCTAGGCCCTGAACCAGTTCTACTTCCTTCTTATTTTCAGTGTCAAATAGAAATAAGGAATGGATATTGCCATCACCAACATGGCCGACCATGAACGCATCTACAACATAAACATGCCTTCAGCAATAACCTACTCATTCATGTTTTTGGAGACATCTACATGCCATTGGTGGAAACAAATTGAATATCTCCATCTCCAACATGATCAACACTGGCACTGATAAGAAAAAGCTTTTAAGGTCAACGAGATCTCAACATAAGAGGCATGTAACAAGAATACATACTGTAAAATAACTTTTCTTTTCAGGTCTTTTTCAAGAAAGTTAACTGCTGCAAACTTCAGGTGATGAAAGTGCCCATGAATAAGAGGTGACCTCCATAGCTTGTCAATATATTTTTGTCTATTTTTTTCAAATCACTTGAAATTATAAATATTACAAAAAGTTTATACAAATGTGTATATCTTATGAAAGGAAAGTAAGTCGATACAATCTACAATAAGACATCATTGTATTGCCATCCATTGTAACACCAAACTAGCATACTGCCATTTGCCATGATGTTAAGGAACAGCTATGCAAATATCACTTTCCATGCCCCTAATAAAACCGTCCCTCAACATCAGTAAATTAATTATCAACTTCACAGCTGACTGAGTCCACTAACAAGTTTTGTATTCTCTTTATATAAATATATTTGAATGTGCGTTTTATTTGCTTATGCCAAAAACTTTTTGGATTTTTTTTCTGAACACATCACCATCTCAAGTTCCTCTGATTTTAATTCATGATGATTGCAGACTTTTGCAAATTCTGCTATGTTGTAACGCTTATATGCATGTGCGAGATGAAAATGAAAAAGGGAATTCACAAAAAAGCTGAGTGTTAAAATAACCAAAAAGGGACCTGTATCACTCACTCTGATATTTCAGCTTTCGCTTAAAACATCTTTATTCAACAAGATCCAAATGTTGCAGTTGAAACTTACTGGAGTATGCTAGAATATTTGTGGGCTTCGGATTCACCAGGCAAGGTCAAGCAGTTGCTCTGCAGGTACCCTAAAGTAACGCACAGAAGATTCTTCTAATGAGATAGAGGAGGTTGCAGTCCAGAGTACTGGAGATGTCTTTGCTGATGAGTCACTTCACAGGCCTTGTCTTGAGTGGGGAAGAAGATGACCAGGTAACAGAAGCAACAGCACGTGGGTCAACTGATCCAGAATGGTAGATGAAAAGGAATGGATGATATTTGAAGAAAATTTTTGGGCATGTTGGTGACAACAATGCAGGGCAATGAGGATAAGAAGCTGGACACCCTAACAGCCATCACAAACATACAACTTGGGGAAGCAGTTCAGAACTATCTCCTCGCTCTGTGTTGAATACAATGCCTTTGATGGCAAGGTGGCTAACATGCTGAGCAACCCCTTCATTGACTTATCTACCCAGAAGGTCGCAATATCTTGATTCTCTGGATGCATAGAGCACACAAGCGTTCTGAGCCAGATGATTTGCGAGGCTAAAGCTGATAGGAGCAATTTGACAGTAGTTTGGCTTGAGTTACCCAATGCATATGGAGATATCCCTCACAAGCTGCTTGAACTAGCTACACAACATTATCATACCCTAGAACTTGTCACCGCATCACGAAGAAGTACTTTGATGGTATGCAACTCAGGTTCACAGCAACATGGCAGGATTTGGAGAAGGGAATAGTGACAGGTTGCACAGTGTCACCTATCCTATTTGTGATGGGTATGAACATCATCATGAAAGCCGCTGAGAGAGAGACTAGAGGGCCCAGAATGATATCAACCACCTGTTAAGCACAGAGGATACCATCTACACTGGATGATGTCGTGACTTGGGCTCAGATAAAGTTTAAGCTGAAGAAATCACAGAGCATGATCAGCTGACAAAAGAGTTCGAACTTAGCGTCCAGGGGGAGGAGACACCATCTACTCTCAACAACCCAATGGAATGCTTCGGGAGATGGTGTGACGACACCCTGTTCAACAAGAAGAAGGTGGGTGAGATCAAGAAGCAAGTAGAAGAATGGCTGAATAGGATCGATAAATCGGGACTGCCTAAGAAATTCAAAGCTTGGCTGTATCAACATGGTATTCTTCCCAGGTTGTCTTGGACCCATATGCTGTAGGAGTACGTAAAGACAGCAGTTGAATCCCTGGAGAGATGCGCCAGGATAAAGTTTCAATCATGGCTTGGAGTATAATCTAAGTTTCAGTGGTAAATATTAATGTAGAAATATCTACTGTCTTATGCCTTGAAATTGATATGTTTAACAAAAGCTGTGGTATACAATATATAAACATTGATCCTGTGACATTTCTCATAGGAATCAAAAACTGCCAAACTGATACCCCCAAAAAAACCTTATTGGAAGAAAGGTGGTGGTATATCAGGGTTGTACTGTACTTACAACCACCACAATTATTTGATTATGATGGACATTACTTGTTAAAGTATCACAATACTGGAATGAGAGTTTTAGTCTTCAGTACTTACCAATGGCCCCAGCCTGCTGTATGACCTCATTTGACCTCATTATGACCTCTGGTAAGTTGGATATTGGAACACAAACATCTGTAGAGTAGGGCTGAAAAAGTCAAAAATGATAATCACGAAAGATGATAAAACTAACCAACCCCAATAATAAAATCTGTTTATGTTGACAAGTTGTCTAACAAAATAATTTATCAAGGCAAGAGTAAAACTTAGACATAAACAACTCGCAATCAACGTGCAAACTTTTTCTATACATAAAACTTTCTTAACACGCATTTCATCTTTCATTTCACTGCTCTATATTTATCGTATCATTTTACAACAAAATTTGTAATTTTACATTTTATTTTATTTTTCGCTGTGGGTCTTTCTGGAAAAGAAAATGTTATACTACCTTACTATAAAATAAAACATCCAGACCTCCTCTTAAGCCTTATGGCTTTACAGAATATCAGAAAATTTTGTTAATGCACAGTTGGCACAGGGTGGAAGTCTACATTAAATGACATGTCCTGAGCATTTCTTTTATCATCAAAAGGTGCTATTCCCATTTTGTGATTTTTGTACAATCTTCTTCTTGAATAATGATTTTTTTCTTATTCAGAAAGTTGACCTCAGAAGTGTTTATTCTAGTCTACCTATTCTGCTATTATTCACAAGCCACATGTCCCGAGCATTTGTTTAATTAGTGTACTCAGCGGCATGCCGAATGCAATATAAATGTCCTTTCTTTTATTTTGTTGGTATCAACTGCTTTGAGAATTTGGAACTTTGTCTCCAATAGCCTTCAACTTTCTAGATGTATCCATGTTAACACTCAGAAAACCAGTGAGTACTACATAGGACCACACCCTGCTGAGCAAAAAGACCAAAAATATCATGGTTTGTTTTACCTTGTCTTCTCAGCCTCATTTGACTGGCACACAGCATGTCATATCTTGGCTACCATAGTTGCCTTACTACAAGGTCAACAAGACATACATTATGTCATGTCTAGGCTACTATACCTGCCTTTTACCAGGTCTGAAAGCCATACAGTATGTCATTTCCAGGCTGTCATACCTACCTTACTACCTGGTTTGAGAGCCATATAGAATGTCATATCTAGGCTAACATTTCTTACTGCCAGGTCTAAGGGTCATACCGGATGGCATTTTTAGCCTTCCATACTTATCTAAATGCCAGGTCTAAGGGTCACACTGGATGTCATTTTTAGCTTTCCATACTTATCTAACTGCCAGGTCTAAGGGTCATACCAGATGTCATTTTTAGCCTGCCATACTTATCCAACTGCTAGGTCTAAGGGTCATACCGGATGTCATTTTTAGCCTTCCATACTTATCTAACTGCCAGGTCTAGGGTCATACCGGATGTCATTTTTAGCCTGCCATACTTATCTAACTGCCAGGTCTGAGAGTCATACCGGATGGCATTTTTAGCCTGCCATACTTATCTAACTGCCAGGTCTGAGGGTCATACCGGATGTCATTTTTAGCCTTCCATACTTATCTAACTGCCAGGTCTGAGGGTCATACAGGATGACATGTCTAGCTTCCATATCTACCTTTTTGCCAGGCTTGAGGGCCATACAGGCATACAACATGTCATGTCTAGCCTTCCATAGACGGTTTCTCTCCTGGTGATCTGATGCCCACTTAAAGTCAGATCCACCATTCAAGAAAGTAATTTCCTCTGAAAGGAAACAAATGGAAACTGTCATCATTTGTTTTCATAATTTATATGACTCCATTATATTTTCTTACATTCTTGTATCATAATTTCCAGAATCAATAAAATCATTATAAAGCGATACAGATCTGAAGTGTGAAACGTGCTAATTTTCCTCACCAGAAATGACCATCATTGCTTGATAGATATGGTAAATGTCATACTTACTGACAACCTCAGCCTGTTTGTCCAGTGTATCAGGACTTCCTGTGAACTCAAAGAATAAAGATGGTGCCACCTTCATATCCAGCTTGCTGTATCTATTACTTGCATCTACAGATACCTCATCCAGGAATTCTACAACAAAAGAAACAATATACACATAAACCTTTTCTTCCTTTTTTGATTCTTCTAACTAATTACCATATTGGTATAACTTACCTTACCTCACTATACAAATCCCCATATCTGGGCTATAGGAATCCCCATCTGTAGGTTGTTATGTGGATATCACTTACCTATCCTGGCTATAGGAATCCCCATCTGTAGGTTGTTATGTGGATATCACTTACCTATCCTGGCTATAGGAATCCCACACCTGTAGGTTGTTGTGTGGATATAACTTACCTATCCGGGCTATAGGAATCCCCATCTGTAGGTTGTTATGTGGATATAACGTACCTATCCTGGCTATAGGAATCCCCATCTGTAGGTTGTTATGTGGATATAACTTACCTATCCTGGCTATAGGAACCCCCATCTGTAGGTTGTTATGTGGATATAACTTACCTATCCTGGCTATAGGAATCCCCATCTGTAGGTTGTTATGTGGATATAACTTACCTATCCTGGCTATAGGAATCCCCATCTGTAGGTTGTTATGTGGATATAACTTACCTATCCTGGCTATAGGAACCCCCACCTGTAGGTTATTATGTGGATATAACTTACCTATCCTGGCTATAGGAACCCCCACCTGTAGGTTATTATGTGGATATAGCTTACCTATTCGGGCTATAGGAACCCCCACCTGTAGGTTATTATGTGGATATAACTTACCTATCCGGGCTATAGGAACCCCCACCTGTAGGTTGTTATGTGGATATAACTTACCTATCCTGGCTATAGGAACCCCCACCTGTAGGTTGTTATGTGGATATAACGTACCTATCCTGGCTATAGGAACCCCCACCTGTAGGTTGTTATGTGGATATAACTTACCTATCCAGGCTATAGGAACCCCCACCTGTAGGTTATTATGTGGATATAACTTACCTATCCGGGCTATAGGAACCCCCACCCGTAGGTTATTATGTGGATATAACTTACCTATCCTGGCTATAGGAACCCCCATCTGTAGGTTGTTATGTGGATATCACTTACCTATCCTGGCTATAGGAACCCCCATCTGTAGGTTGTTATGTGGACATAACTTACCTATCCCGGCTATAGGAACCCCCACCTGTAGGTTATTATGTGGATATAACTTACCTATCCTGGCTATAGGAACCCCCACCTGTAGGTTGTTGTGTGGATATAACTTACCTATCCGGGGTATAGGAATCCCCATCTGTAGGTTGTTATGTGGATATAGCTTACCTATCCGGGCTATAGGAACCCCCACCTGTAGGTTGTTATGTGGATATAACTTACCTATCCGGGCTATAGGAACCCCCACCTGTAGGTTGTTATGTGGATATAACTTACCTATCCGGGCTATAGGAATCCCCATCTGTAGGTTGTTATGTGGATATAACGTACCTATCCTGGCTATAGGAACCCCCACCTGTAGGTTGTTGTGTGGATATAACTTATTGTCTTGGCTATAGGAATCCCACACCTGTAGGTTGTTGTGTGGATATAACTTACCTATCCGGGCTATAGGAATTCCCATCTGTAGGATTTGAACCGTGGAGTCTACAGCCTCCTGGACATTGTTGAAGGAGCAAACAGCTGATATTGTCTGTATGTATGAAATAAGATATTAACAAACAATCTATGTGTACTTTTCACTATTTATGAAAGGAAATAACAAAATCAATAGTTCAGAACAATAGTTTCTGTCTGAAAAGTCTCATTGCAGGAAGGAGACCATCTAGAATCACATGATGCAAATCATTGTCTTCATACTTTAAACTTATTACCATCAAATATGAACAAAATCAGATAAATTAAGTAAACAAGTAACAGGCACACATATCTCAGAATATATGAAGAAAGGAAAAAAATAGTGGCCATCTTGTATTTTGAAATTCAAACAACATATTGTGTACTGAATGAAGGCCAATAATGCTACAAAGAATTGCAAGTTGCCAGTATCCTCGTTAAGATTTATGTCTTGTATCACTTACAGCCTCTGGTATGCCGTGGAGACGAATGGTTGCCTGGGTGATGATACCAAGTGTGCCTTCAGATCCAACAAATAGATTTGTGAGATTATATCCTGCTGAAGTTTTTCTGTAGAAATGATAAAACATGACACATATTGTTTTCAATGTATTACAGATAAACATAAGAAGTGTGTCGAAGTATGCGTTCCAGAAAAGTCAGGTTTATCTATTACTATATTGTACTATCACTGAGATGTGTTGTAGTTGTAGCTTAATAAGAAGCAGCATTGTTTAACTAACTCACTTATATCTTTTATACATCCCATAATACAGTTCTAACATTTTACTTTACCCAAGAAGCATCACTTACTTTGTGCGCCTTCCTTTACCAGCAGTGTAGATGATACGACCATCAGGCAGAACTACTTCCATGTTAAGGACATTTTCCCTCATGGTTCCGTACCTCACAGCATTGGTACCTGAGGCACTGGTAGCACACATGCCACACAGGGAAGCATCTGCACCAGGGTCTACAAACACAACCAAATTAGACTCAAACATATGTGTCATGTGAGTCATCAGTTTTTTGGACATTACAAAGATAATCAGGAGAGCATCCTCCTACTTAACCTCGTACAATGTCTAAAGAAGAATGAATGGATATAACTCATTGCTATAATTTCAAACGTGATTACCTGGTAGTCAGTAGTCACTATGGCCAGCATACATAAACGGGACAAATAGACATACATACCTAGATGTAGATGAGACATATGGGTTGATATATCTAACCCTTAGAATACATTCAGCTTCAGTTCAGAGCTTGTCTAATGTACTATATTCTACGTGTGTAATACAAATGTATATGTAGCATATGAAATATAAAGACGCTTACAACAAATTCACGGCTATACCATAGAAACTTCTAAGTCTGTTCAGGTAACTAATAACTAAGGATGTAATTAGGTGGCCATTAGTAATGACAGCCTCCCAACACAATCAAGTGTTGTATATCTATACAACTAGATCAGTGGCCAAGTGACAAATAAATAATGAGTGTACCTATAGGAAATGTGAGTCCCGTATCCCTTAGGTAGTTGTTTAGTGTTAATCTGGTCACCCCTGCCTCCACAGTACAGTCAAAATCCTCAGCATTGACAGATACTATTTTCTTCATCTTTGACAGGTTGAGACACAAACCTCCCTGTAACAGAGGTCAAATCAAGGAGGTTACGTGACTTTAATCAAGGTTAAATGAAGGAGGTCATGTGACCTCAAACAATAACAAGATATAGTTGACATTTCGTGTTCAAGTCAAAAAAATTAAAACCAGTGTAAAATACAAAAATTATACATAATATAAAGTTCTGAGATGTCGATGGGATTGACATTAGTACAACATTTTATGTCAAGCTCCCTATTTTAATTTCACTCACCTTCAATGCATTTATGCCGCCTTCCATTCCAGTACCAGTTCCAAAGGGGATGAGTGGCACCTCATTATCATTACACAGCTTGGCCACCCGACTCACATGTACGGTATTCTCAGCAAAGGCCACAATGTCTGGTGGTGAGGTACTGAACCAAGAAACACCGAGCATAAGATCAAAGATTTCAGCAAATGATATTACAAAATGGATTTTCTCTCTGTGGTTACTTTTGATAAGTCTGTCTCAATGCATCAACAGTTCTCAGTACCTGTAGATATTAGATCACACAAAATGTACTGGTATTTGTGAATGACAAGATGCTTTGTCAGAATCCATAGTAAACATCTACAAGATTAATATTTGTAAAAAATTGTATCTTCAGTGATAGAAGATTTCTAGGTGTCTGAGAGTAGACTGGTCATGACCTTGAAGGATTCCAGAGATAGGAGGTAAGGAAAGCTGAGGTTGTCACAAGGACAGGCTAGAAAATGGTCAGCTGGTGCTATTGTCAGCAAAGCAGAGAACACACTAGAGAAGCAGGGCACCATAGGAAGCATGTGTGTTTCAAAATTGTCTGGCTGACTAGATGTCAAAAAAATACTTTTCCTATTTGAACTAGTAAACTCCTCAGGGAGCACCTAAGTGCAGGACAGCTTTGAATTTCACAATTTTGATAACGTCCCCTTACAGGCTTTACAACTCTGAAAGAACAAATTTGAATTCCAACATTTCTATTTGTTGAGAATATTTTTGAAGATTTTGAATGCTTTGTCTCTTTGAAGGCCCCTCCCCTGGTTTCTTGAAAGAGGCCAGACCAATAAATTTCAAAATTTTGAACTGCTTAGCTCAAAGGATGCTCATGGCCCAATGTCAAAAATGTGAAAATGGTAATGAACTTAATATTTGCATGCTAACCAAACTGAGCCCTAAATTCCTCGTAAGTTAAGTGACAAAGAGTTAACACTACATGTACGTACCCAGGGATTAATCTCAACTACCAGAAACTATTAGTATTCCCCAAATGGTAATTTTTCCCTACTGAATATAAATATACTGAAAACATGGGCAAGTTTTCTCAAAAACAGAGCTATTTAGTATATTTTAACTGAACATATTTTCAACTCTTACCATCATGAGAAAGAAATATCGATCTAGCCTTAATATTGTCATATCTTATGAAATCTTCATCATGCATGTAAAATATTTAACTCTTATGAATTCTGAAGTCATGTGGGGTTTCCGCCTGCATTACTGTATTTTGACAGGAAGACAATTATGCACTCAATATCAAAATATTACCATTTTTCTGTTACATTCACCTCCCTTATATGAAGGTAATACCAATTTTGCTACAATGCAACCTGTATCCCACCTTTCCAAAATGTACCTATTATTTAACATTTGAACTAAATACAGTTTCTGGTACAGGAGGAGCAATTTACAATGTTCTTTTCTCACTCTCGCAGGTATAGGACAAGACAGTTCTGCATCTTGATTTGTCATTCATTGCCTTTCCTGGTTATAAAATGTAATTGAAAAACTATCAATAACATTTCAGATAACTGAGTTGTATTTATACACATGTAAGTCAAACTGTATTTCTTTATGATCTCTTCAATTGTCTCGTTCATCCTACTGATAATCACTCAGTACATTTTTAAAAGGTTTAGTTGAATGAGATTATTTTTTCACTGGAGTACTACATCTGGTTTTGGGACCATCTAAAAAGGAATGAAACACAGATGGGAAGGGAGGTAACTCTAGTCCTAAAAGAACTTCGCTCGGGCACATGTAAGCTATCCTCTTATAAGATTATACCATAGATGAAAATGTTGTGTATATATGTACTAATGGGTTGGGGGAAGGGAGGTAACTCGAATTGATTGGTATTAATGTTTGGTTGAAGTTGAAACTCTTCTTATAGAAGGGAGAAAAAAAGTGATGAAGAATAAAATTTTGGAAAGGAGATCACGCATCGTTTGATAATTTTCCTCTCAGCAGCAGTAGCGCTAACAAGAAACATCAGTCTTTTGAAAAAATACTGAACACCAGGCTTTGCACAGATGACAGATGTTTACGCTGACAATATTTGGGAATTCAAAGAAATCTTGATTATCTCATCAAATTTTTAAAAGAATATGATTTGATATGTACATCCAGTACTTACGCATGATAGGACTCATCATGGCCATGTTGTTCCCGTATGGCATCAGTTGTAGACACATTATCATTGCCAACTATATCAATGACAGCTTGGACAAAGCGATCTGGAATCTTTGCCTTTGTTACTGTCTGATCAAATATAGATGAGTGATTCAATATAAAATTTGAAATACAATTATCCAATGGCTGACACCTACAGACGCAGATTCTCTATAGAGATGCACGTGAGTAGCATTTATCGTTTTCTTTTTATACATCAAACTGATTTTTTTAACAAAAATGCTTTACGTATAACTGGACAGCAAAAATAACAGGCTTCATATAACAGTCACAAGCAGACGATAACAAATAACATGTATACTGACAATTATCCATTCATGCGTTCCACTCTACCTGTTTGGTGGTGTTATGATGAACAACCGTTCTATGGTATAATCGAACGGAATGCCGGCATACAGCCTGTACAAGTGTTCTACGATACATAGATGTCTTCTTGTTGCAGATTTCCCGTTAATCTCAGCGAGGTATTACAGTAATATTGGGAGAACCAGATGACCAAAAAATTACACTGAAGTCATGATAGAGTAGCCAATAACTTGTAGAGACAGCCAGCTGTCTCATGTGAAGTAACCGTGACTGCATAAAATTATCTGGCTCCTTGCATCCATGTGTATTTTGTTAGCTAATATTTGATAAGATCAAGAGTCCCATGAGGCCTGTATTGCTCATCGGGATGTTTCTACTTTCAATTCCAAATATTTTGATTAATATTATATTGTTTCATGTAAAACCTTCATTCAAGAAAAACAACTCAATAATGATTGCAAACTCTTAAGTCTCTTCCCCATACTGGGTCCTGCTCCCCTGATGTTCCATAGGTACTGGTTTTTATAAGGTTAGTGTGCGGTGCGTTATTTTATTTGCTATCGAAATCGAGTCAACAAGTACCCGGATGATGTAAGTGAAATCTATTTCCTTTCACCCATGGCCATACCTGAAACGAATCGAGTCATTTTTTTTCTTAACAACACTTATAGGCCAAGAAGAAGATGCATTTACAAGATTATACCACTCTACTCTATTGTATCAAGCCCCAAGGGTGAGACATAGCTACCGTCTATGTAAAATTTAATTTCCTTCATAAAAGAATGTTTCGGACTGAGTATGAACAAAATTCCTTGAAATAAAAGAAGGAATTTTGTTAACTGGCAAAGTTTTACTTATTAGGCCCAACCCTCGGGCACTAGGGCGCAAATATCAACAATTTTACAAAATTTAACCCTAGCACGCTTCTAAACAGAATTTGTAAAATAGAATATATTCATCCCAAAAGAAAAAGGATTTTAAAGAGATTCCTTAATCTCTGATATTGAACCCCACCCTTGGAGCCAAATTAGGGTGTCAGATCAACTGTTTATACTAAATTAAGACCCAATTCCACTTCTTATGAAACGGTCTGACAATATGACTGTGACTCTGGTATGATAGGACTAGGAATGGTAATTAGACATTTTGGTAAATTTTGGTTGAAAAGCTAGACGAACCAGTAATAAAGCTGTTTATATGGATATTTGTGAAGTTTAAGAATCCAATATGAACGAGAGAGGTCCGTATCCTGATATATAATAGACAATCTAAACCATTCCAATACTAAAATATGATTAACTAGTATTTCTTCTCTGGAGAGATTGGATAAGGCAATAAAGAACCCTATATATTTTTGCTATATTTTTTTCAACATTTTGAAACAAAATACTTTAAACTTTCCGTATTGGTTTAGCTCATGTTTTGTTATGTGATCCCCAGAAATACAAATACCCCGAGGCATATTTATACCGACTTGACCGATATCAATCAATATCTTGACAGCTTTCTGGGACGACAAAGCAAAATTTTTTTTAATCCCTACCTACCGACTCTGTTTTTTAGGCAGAAACCGGATACAGTTTCTCCCTAATGTGTTTGTAGTGAAAAGTAGAGAAAAAGTCTGTTGTAATGTGCTGCATTGTCTGATAAATGACATGTATGAAAGGATAATGATTAGAAAAAACTTCATGTTGACGTCAAGATCCAACAAGACCTTTAAGAGCTCCCAGGGTCATTAGGTTACTTCCCTTACAACGTTTTACCTAGTGAAAACGGGATAATGGAATATATGACGAATGGTATAACTGATGGCAGTTAATTATTACATTAGCAAAAATCGTGGCCAAATAAAGCATTTTACACTTAAGAAAGTTGATATCAAATTTGTTCTTGATTCTGTTTTTAATAAAAAAGAGTTCCGTACCTGTACTTCAAACCACATATGGAAGTTATTATAAGGCTGGGAAAATATGTATACTTATAGTCAACAGTCAGACTAATCCTGACTAGTCAGACCTACGACCCCTGTCCCTGCTGTTAACTAATCCTGAATAGTCAGACCTACGACCCCTGTCCCTGCTGTTAACTAATCCTGACTAGTCAGACGTACGACCCCTGTCCCTGCTGTTAACTAATCCTGACTAGTCAGACCTACGACCCCTGTCCCTGCTGTTAACTAATCCTGACTAGTCAGACCTACGACCCCTGTCCCTGCTGTTAACTAATCCTGACTAGTCAGACGTACGACCCCTGTCCCTGCTGTTAACTGATCCTGACTAGTCAGACCTACGACCCCTGTCCCTGCCGTTAACTAATCCTGACTAGTCAGACCTACGACCCCTGTCCCTGCCGTTAACTAACCCTGACTAGTCAGACCTACGACCCCTGTCCCTGCCGTTAACTAATCCTGACTAGTCAGACCTACGACCCCTGTCCCTGCCGTTAACTAATCCTGACTAGTCAGACCTACGACCCCTGTCCCTGCCGTTAACTACTCCTGACTAGTCAGACCTACGACCCCTGTCCCTGCTGTTAACTAATCCTGACTAGTCAAACCCGCGACTCCTGTCACATGGCCACCAATGTGACATCCTTTATTACGTCACGTAAAACATTGATTTCCTATAGTATTATTACGTCACTGTAATACATCCTTTGTCACCATTTGATGACGTAATAATTGCTCATCCTGGTAACTGAACTGTCACTTCGGGATTTATTAAGTGTATTGAATATAAGCAACTAAATTATTCAACATGTCGGAGAGATTAATGGAAGGAAAGATGTCCCTGTACGGGAAAAATGCCCCGTCCCCCGGGGAACTTGCTGGTCTATGGAAAAACGTCTTACAGGTGAGGAAAGCATAACATGACTTTACGAACAGGAGTGAGTAGTTTTTAAACGTTACAGTAACTATATTCCTCTGTCTGCTTAGAACTAAGTCAGCATGTCGTGTGGTCGATAAGCAATTAATATTACATCCTGTAGATATTTATTTGTTAATTCAATGGGTCTTGCGTTCGAAATGAGGACTTTCGGCTTTTCGACAGAAGAAATCCCGTAAAAAAAGGAAAACCCTCCAAAGCCACGTGGTAACAACAGAATGGTTTTATTGGATTTCAGAGAAGAGATGTCATCAATAAGCGACACTTGGCAACAGTGGGCAATGGAAGCCAATGGGTTGGCGTTAAACAATGGTCACAAAAAATGATTGAAGATGGAAAGGATTCTATTTACGGTCCTCGAACACGAACTACCGTGGTAGGTAATTTTATGTACAGTCTCCTAAAACGAACTACCGTGGTAGGTAATTTTATCTACAGTCCCAACACACTAACTACCGTGGTAGGTTATTTTATGTATGGTCCCCTAAAACAAACCATCATGGTAGGTAATTCAATCTACATTCCTCGAACACGAGCTACAGTGGTAGGTAATTTTATCTACAGTCCCCGAACACGAGCTATCGTGGTAGGTAATTCAGTCTACAGTCCCAACACACGAACTACCTTTGTAGGTAATTTTATCTACAGTCCCCGTACACGAGCTACCGTGATAGATAATTCAATCTACATTCCTCGAACACGAGCTACAGTGGTAGGTAGTTTTATCTACATTCCTCGAACACGAACTATCGTGGTAGGTAATTCAATCTACATTCCTCTAACACGAGCTACCGCGACAGGTAAATCTGTCCACGAACCCGAAAACGAGCTAATTAACCACGGAAGGTAACTCTATCCACGATTCCCGTGCACGAATTACGGTGGTGACTCCGTCTATGTTACATGCACACGAACTACGGTGATTACTACGGTCTCCGCACGCGAACTTCTGTAGTTAGCACACTCTAACTCAATTTACGGCTCCTGCACTCAAATTACCGAAGTACGTAATTCCACCTACGGCACCCCGATACGAACTTCCGTATTAGGTAACTATCTACGGTCTCCGCACACCAATTCTCGTGGTAAGTAACTCTCTATAGGTGTTCGTACACGAACTACCATTGTACATTTTGTACTTCGTATACAGTTCGTGTACGCGAACCACCGCGGTAAAGAGGTAATATTCATTGTCTCGGTCGATCTAAAAACGTGCATTCGGAGTCATCTTGTATATACTTTACATTTGTGATCCAATTTGATGAAAATTTGAAGTTTTTCAGTATCAGCGCGCGCTTGTACAAATTTTTGAGCATAGGATTTAAGTCACATCTAATCACATTGGATTATGTTCTGTTGCCTAAAAGTTGGTACATTTGCGCGCTGTGTGTCATAATTGCATGTGTGTGTGTGTGTGTGCGTGCGCGCGCGCACGCGCGTGTGTGTGTATGAGGGTGAGGGTGTGTGTGTGTGTGTTTTCTTTTTAATTATTTATGAGGCGGTCGATATTTTTAACTCTGTTAATGCTTTACACGTGGTTTTTAGACTGCCTGGTCTTGTATCTCCCTTTATTGTTTGTAGGCGGATGTATCGACAAATTACAAGCGGTTATTCCACATAAAGTATGGTTACGACAGTAAGATCCACAGAGATGACCGAAAACCTATGTCCACTACTGGTCAGGCTATGCATGATGAGGTATTCAGATTTTTTCTTTCTAAACGACAAGAATGATGAGGTATTCAGATTTTTTCTTTCTAAACGACAAGAATGATGAGGTATTCAGATTTTTTCTTTCTAAATGACATAGGGATGATGAGGTTCATATTTTTTTCTTTCTAAATGACATAGGGATGATGAGGTAGTCAGATTTTTCTTCCTTCTAAATGACATAGGGATGATGAGATAGTCAGATTGTTTTCGTTCGTAATGACACAGGGATGACGAGGTATCAATATTTTTCTTACTGTTTCCGACTGTTATCGTATAAGGGTCGTCTCCACGGACGAGGACTTGAACATCTGATAACTCTAGAACTTGCCATTGTTTGTCTTCACCGTAATATTCTACACATCTCACATAGACATTTCGCGATATACTTTGTATACATTTTGTGCCGATGTCGAACCTGATTTTTAACTATACCACTGACGATATTAAAACCACAGGAACTAGAGAAATTGTTGTAAGTTTAGACATTTCTGTGTGTTAGTTAAACATTCAGAAAAGTCCGTCTACAAGGTGCGCAGACGGGTATCCTTTATATCAAACGAAATGTTCAATTAGATACGGCCAATTTCCCATCTCCTTCCTTTCGACCCCTCGAAAATGTAGGACGTTGAAACACATGGAGATATTCCCTCTTCGTTAAAACCGGAAGTGTACAGGATTTCCTCCATCTTTGTTTCCAGGAGACCCGCCGGACTGTTCCGGTTCTGACTTCATCCCAGTATGGAAATCGTGTGTATAAACCACTGGAAACCTTCAGTCGTTCGCACGTATGTATCGAACACATACAGAAAGGCTTCTACCACAAACGGGGTACGGGATTACCTCCCCTGGAGCCATAGCTTCAACCAAATAAAGTTTGATTTATAGTCAAACACGTTGTGTTATCACTTACCATCTACTGATTCTATTGATAAAATCTCATTGACACCAAGCAGCTGTATTGAGAACTTTCACGACAAGAACTCGATTTACGGTAGATTGCATATCGACCAACACTCGTTTTGGAACGTATCAGTGTCTGTTTAATATATATTTATATATATCAGTAGTATATATGCATGTATTTTCCAGATTCTGAGATGAATAATTTTCATATCTCAACACATTCCATTTTAACAACGTCAGTTAAACATTGACAAATTTCAGTTGGCATTCATGGACATATGAACGCCAACAGGGTAAGGACAAAATACACTTTGCTTTAAAGCGCTTCATGTTGAATTTGCCTTATCCTGTTGGCATTCAAAATACCCAGGAATTGTCCTTTTTCATTTCGTTATAAGAGGGAGGCGACATCAAGTTGTGTGTGATTCGCCATTTATAATTCGCAAATTATTAATACAAGACGTTTGTTTGTATACATTTTTCGAGTAACGAGCGATAACGAATGTTTAAGAAATCAAGCAATAACTGATTTGCTGTATACTTCTCACCTCGAATAAACAGAAAGAAGGCATGAACAAAACTTAACTTATTAAATCGCATACCTGAACCCTTTATTACTGCATATTTTACACCTTAAACGACGTGGGAAATAATTTGTTGGTTGCCTCAGTCGACTGCACACTTTATCCTCTTTCATGGTCAATCATGGGTTACAGTTAAATTATTCAGAAAACAAGAGTTCGGGTATGGTTGAGTTGATTTCACGCCCTCTTTCTGTAATCGTAATTACACATGAAAGGGAATAATGCACTTTTCCATTGTGAGAAGTGTAAAGTATGCAGTACTAAGTAATAAAAGTCACCAAGACGTTTGTAATGATAGACTCAACAACCATTGTCATCTAAACGTTTGTGAAGGTTGTCATAAGAAGTTGCCACCAAGATGTTGTAACGGTTGGGCTCCACAGCCTTTATAAGAAGAAATACAAAGACGCTTAAAACATTTGGTTTAACGACAACAATAATAAGTAGCTGAAACCAGATGCAAGCACATGATATTCAAACAAAATGTGATAAGTACCAGATAAAAGCGCACGTGTTGTCACCACGATGTGGGTATAATTTGTTGCATCAGTCGACTTCACACTTTATCCTTTTTCACGGGTAATCATGGGTTACAGTTAAATTATTCAGAAAACAGGAGTTCGGGAATGGTTGAGTTGATTTCACGCCCTCTTTCTGTTTACATGTTGTTTGCACCGTCTGCTGCACACAATCCCTTTCATGGTCATGTAATTATGATTACACATGAAAGGGGACGGTGCAATCATCCAAAGTGAGAAATGTAAAATATGCAGAAATAAGCCAGTCACCAAGACGTTTATAATGATAGGCTTAACAACCCTTGTCATAAGAAATAGTCATCTAAACGTTTGTGAAGGTTGTCATAAGAAGTCGCCACCAAGATGTTTGTAACGGTTGGGCTCCGCAGCCTTTATAAGAAGTAGTACAAAGACGCTTTAAATATTTGGCTTAACGACTACAATAATAAGTAGCTGAAATCATGTGCTTGCATCTCGTATTCAAACAAAGTGTGATAAGTACTAGATACAAGCGCCTGTGTTGTCACCACGTTACAGGGTGACTTGTAATGTAAGCCACTTGTTTAGTTTCGGAAGTTGTGTACGTGCTCGATCATACGTATCCGTGAATTTCAATCTTACGTTTCACTAGAACTGCTTAATATTCAGCCCCATATCTGGACACAGGCGAACCATGGCGTACGTATCATCAGGGCTATACCGAATAACCTTTGAACTTCAATTTTGTGAATGAAACTTTCCACGATTTCCTCGAGTGACTAGACACAGTGTCCTAGTGCCCCAGTTTCCACATTCTCGCAAGAACAGGTACATAGGAAATTTACAACCCGTTTGACGGGATGATATAGATATTTGAATATAACAAGAAGCCTAGCGGCGTTAACGGCCACGGTGATAAGCAATATTTCCAAGATTAATATAAGGGTATTTAGCTTTCAAAAGTTATGAAAAAGAAATGGTGACATTGATGAAAGAAAGCATGTGTTAATACATGCATACCATCAAAAATGTCATATTATACTAATAATTCTTACAAACTTATTTCCAGTGGGAAATAAGCAACGTTGTGCTCCAAAATGCGAATTTTCTATGAAAATTTCAGTAAAGTTGACCTCCTCTCCAGAAAGAAATGTGAGATCCATTATGGTAATTAAAGCACCTTAAGACGCTACCATCCATGAAGAACATGTGATTCTTCCATACCTGTGTGTTGAGAAGACGATATTTTTATGCCATTTTGACTCCTTTTGGCCCCGCCCATCAGTCCTTGGGGTCAGTCAGGATCAAATTTGTGCATACCATCATGGTACCATCCTTCACTCATAATTCTTATCAAGTTTGTAATATTTCCAAAGGAAATTAAAGAAATTATGCGCAAAAATCTATTTTTCTTCCATATAGTAAAATTTACCCCCTCTCCACGGGGAAAATAATGTGAGACTCTGGGCCATGGAATTCACAATTTTAGTAACTTAAGATGCTTCCATCCACGAAGAACATTTGATTCTCCCATATCATGGTGTTGAGAAGAAGATGTTCGAAATTTAAGTCAATTTGACCCTTTTGGCCCGCCCCTTAGGCCTGTGTGGAGTGGGGACCGTATAATTCGCTTATTTGATTAATTAGGCCAGGGACGGTTTCTGCAAAATTTCATTGAAATCGATTCAAGGGGTTTTTGACAAGAAGTCGAAAATGTTGAATTGTTTACGGACGCATGACACGCGACACCGGGGGCGATCGCAATAGGTCACCATGAGACAGTACCTCAGGTGACCTAAAAAGGACTTCGATTTAGCCCTTAGGTCAGGGTAATGATATGAAAAGTGTTTACTTACAACTAAAATTATGCCATGAAAGGGCAAAAAATATACAACGTTGATTATTAACGTTTCCTAAGCACTTGAGAATTAAACGAACAGAAAGAAATCGAGACAAAATAAGCTAGCTGAAATAACGTGGGATGTTACTTTGCTAATGAAGGTAACGTTAGTAGTGGTGATGCCAAATCAGGTTTAGCTCAAGTACATGGTTATTGTTTTCGAGGTTGCGTTAGCTATGGTTATTGTTTTCGAGGTTGCGTTAGCTATGGTTATTGTTTTCGAGGTTGCGTTAGCTATGGTTATGTCTGGTAAGGTTGCGTTAGCTATGGTTATGGTAGTTGAGGTAACGTTAGCTATGGTTATGATAGTTGAGGTAACGTTAGCTATTGTTATGATAGTTGAGGTAACGTTCGCTATGGTTATGCTAGTTGAGGTAACGTTAGCTATGGTTATGCTAGTCGAGGTAACGTTAGCTATGGTTATGCTAGTTGAGGTAACGTGAGCAATGGTTATGCTAGTTGAGGTTAAGTTAGCTATGGTTAATTAGCTGGTTTATTATCGTCAATGCAATCAATTGAAACTAAATCATATACACATGGAATTCTCACAACAAACAAAAACCAACTACTTTTTTTGCTTTTTGATTACTGGTTGTGCGTGAAAGGCCATTCCCGCCAAATTTCCCGTTCATTGTCGCTTGACTAATCACTCACATACGTTTTTTTTTGATACAAATGGGCACTTAGTTTAGCTGTTTATAATAATTATGTTAGAAATCGGCCCTCCCGAAATGGACATTATTTCAAACTCGTGTCAGCCATAATGTCGATGAGCACAAGGTTGATTTACACATGCCTAATGTGGAAGAAACAGAGTTATGTCCCTTCGTGGTTTTAGATAGAATATCGTGTTATAAAATTCGTGCCAAATTGTTGACAGTTCATGTCCAGATGTTTATTTTTAATACCAAAATTTACCGTGGACAAACGTTCCTTTCTATGGCCAAAGCGGACACTCCTGGTTTGCCTACAATAATATCTTGCGTTTAGCCTCTGGCGCGGGAACAGTGATGCTAAATGGTTAATGCTCAAATGTGTGTGGGCCAGTGGCGTTTTCTAGGCTGACACGAGGTGTCCGTTAGATAAATATTATTTAGGCTGTTAACATTTGTCTGTTTGTCAATATCTATGATGACATATCGATGCGTCCGCGAGAAAAGTGTATCAACAGGCTTTATGTGCATAAATTACGCTGGAGTTCAAGTGTAAGACCGAAAAGGAATGAAATGCGCATCATTTAACCCATGGATGGCTTATGTACACTAGTTAGGTTTTATATTTGACAAACACTCTAAGTCAGCTTGATCGCATATAGTGTCCTGGCGCTGCCGTACAGCATGAAAATCTGTGATGATATGGGGAGATAACTCAAAATATCGGAAGAGGGGTTAAGGGGTGGGAGCGGGAGAGACTCGTGGCAGGATAAAAGGGATATAAATTATATAGATTTTGCAAGCCAGTGAACAAAAAAAGCATACCAACTATAGATTTGTTGAAATTGGAGAAAACATTATAACGAATAGTTTATAGTTTTGTTAAAATTGCATATAAGCGTAAATGACTGGGAGTATTATTGATAAGACATTAAACTTTGCAAAATTAACATTTCTTTTGCCATTTGTTGGATTTAACCAAACGCAATTCTCAAGAACTAACATTTATTATCAATTTTATTTTAACTGGAGTCACACACCATTACCGCAGCGACTATACATTAAAGAATCCTCTTTGCATATCTCTTGATGAGTCGATTGAGAGGCTTATTCAGCATAAAATAAACACGCGTCATTTCGCGTCGAGTTTATTGTCGCGTTAATAGCGAGGAAAACCGACCGCGAATTCAAAATCTCGAGATTGTACGAAAATAACTTCTGGTGACATCCACGTTATTCAGTCGCTGTCATAACCTGATTTTTATAGACATTTCTGCTCAATTTATATACATCTTATCATGTAATTATAAACAAATATGT